TTTCAACCAGTTAATTTAGTTACAGATGTTTTCAGTGTTGTAAAATATCATTTTATTTCCAAGAATTTAAATGACTGATATGCAAAATTAGTATGTTTCATCGTTATACTTCAATTTATAAATTATAAATAAATACATAAATAAATTGATTCATTTCCAACGGGTAATCTATAAACCCACTTACAGGAAATAATTTAAAAATTATCTGTGTAAGAAAAATCAAGATAGACCGACGGTCATAGAACGTAAAGAAAGTCTGAAAGTAGCCATTCGTCGGTCCATCGCGCAGGCAAGCAATCGAAGAGGAGGTCATGGTTGTAAATTATTATTAATATAATCCTAAGCGAATCATTGGTGGCTTTCAATAAACAGGGAGTGAGTGTTCACTATTTGGCGGACTCTACTTTACGCGAGCTTGGATCTAACTAAACACACCAAACTAAACTAAATGATTCAAAAGACCAATCATTCTGGATGTTACATGAAGGATTCTGTTGGATTGTCTCATTATGAGTTGGATTTATTGAAAACAGTTAATATAAAACAATATTCAACAAATCTTAGGAATAGCTGAGTACAGAAACTCTATTACAAGTAGTTACCATTTCAAAGTCAGCACACTTATATATTGATATAGAATGCCCATCTTTCCATACATTAAAATTAAACGTTAAGAAATGATCCCTGCTGACACAACTTATTTAATAGAAGTAGGTATTATTTTCCTGTTTCGTAGATGAGTATTCCAATGTTCCTTTACTGTTTCCATTTTTTGTGTTAAGTTTTTTCATCCAAAATCTCGTTCATATTTTTAAAAATCTCTATATGCCCAACACATTGTCTTTCACTCAATAAACAGTTACCACGAGGCGTCAAATCGTATGTGGGAGCACGTACAGACAACGAACAGCCTTTACGAGTTCGTTCACTCTTATCTACTGCACGCTTCTTGAACGCACACCAAACGAATATCTCTTTGTGAATCAGGTGACGCGGTTCAGTCGTTCAACTGATTGTTAATTATGACAAGAAATGCAGGCTCTATTAAGAGGTTTTTAGATAAGATGATTCAGACTAATTGAGATAAAATAACAAACTGTTGGGTAGTATATTTTCAGGTATTTAAATGGACAGAATACATTAGCACATAAAAGACCCTGCTATCTCGGTATTAACAGGGTCAAGAATACTGGAGATGAGACAGCTCTTTCATTATTTAAAAAGGCTCGATGGTAAGCTAAGGGAGTATTGTAATCGAGTCCATGGCCGACACCCTACTCTTATGTTTTCTCGACCTTTCATCATCCTTGAAATACTAAGAAATAGGTCTCCGGTTTCCGTCTGTCTGCCTGTGTGTCTGTCTGTCGGTCTGTCTGTCCGCCGTCCAGGACGATTTTTTGACGGATAATGTCCGAAACTACTGGACCGATTGTTGCCAAATTTTGTGCGTACATTAGAAAAATCATGTAGACTAACCAAAATTTGTCTAATCATTGCTAATAAAAACGTCTTGTTCTTTATCAATGCATTCATATTTTTAGAGCAACTTTTAATTCGATTACTATTATGGGTTGACGATAAGGACACAAGTCCAGACCATATATAAACAAGTGTGTTTTCGTAGCATAACGCGGTGGAATGTTAAACAGTGACGAGGTGTGGGTAATTAAAGTATGATGTCTTAATGTATATACCTTATAGCATGTCATTAAAAAATACGTAGGAAGTCGTAGAAAAACAAAAAAAAATATAGGATGTCAAAACAAATTTATAGGAAGTCATTTACCTTCTTATACGGTTACTGGCATTACTCATCTATATTTACTACAATGTATGAAGGTTATCACAAATAAAAATTAGCAAAATCACTTTTTTTTTATTTCTTAAGAGCGGTATTTCTACTTCGACCAATTTTTCTGACTTCTTTATAATGACTAGAATCCTGGGATAGTAACCTTATACATTCCATTATGTTCCATTACAGAGGAAGAAACAGATGGATAAAATATAATTCTCGTTTATTTTAGATGATTTTATATAAACAGTGTAATAAAACTGAATTAGTTTTTCTAGGAAAAACATCCAAAAAGTTTAAAATTAAATTCTAATGAACTGAGAGAAACATGAAAATACCAATAAAACCAAAAGAAATTTATCGATTAACATAATCGAAATCATTATTAAAACATGTCTATATTAAATTAACAAGTCAAATTAATGGTGAAGCAGATGAACACTGTCACCTGAACGAAAAAACGATGTCGTATTTACATAGTTGTTTAGGATTTTTCGAGTTTGAAATTTTTTTCAAAAGTAGTTATAGCTTGTTGAAAGACGCTCGATGAGTAATAATTATTGCCGGTTTGTGTCCGTTCAAAAGTTGTCCGTAAGTCACAATTTTCAAGATTTTCAAACTGGTTTAGCAACAAAGTGTTTCGGCAGAATCGTCTTAATGTATGGACTTCATAACTATTTCGTATAATATTTTTTTCAAAATTACTCAATTACCTGAGACAAACAGACACTTGAAGCGTATTCTAGTGAGTGTTTGAAGGAGACTCTACACTTACAGAACCGAAGCCCCATTTTTTTGTTGAAATCGTCAAAGAGTAACAAATTACTTAGTAGTTAGCTAGCTAAATTCTATGCTGGAGAAGTGCGGCGATCGTTTGATCAATAGTTTCCAGGACAATGGATACGAAGGAATGGACCAGTGTTATAGCCACCTCGCTCTCCGGGCCTTAATCCATGTGATTTTTTCTTGTTGGGTCAGTTAAAACAATTGATTATGGAACTCCCGTAAATACAGTTCAAGAGGTAATGAATTGAATTGAGAATTCTGCAACGGAGGTTAGACGAAATCCCGACATGATAGCCCGATTACAGCGTCATTAATTCGGCGTGCTGAGGCATGTCTCGCTAATGGAGGTCGTCAGTTTGAACAATTGATTTATTTCGTTAACTTTATTTTTATGCTGTTTTCGTTGTTAGTAGGTATTTATAAAAGTACCGATATTGCAAGGTTGATGGACGAATGGCTATCTAATTTCTGTGGAATTAGTAAGTCCTGTAGGATGTTTAGCACAAACAGAATTAATACAGTTCGAATTACAGAAATTTTCACGTACGTACACAAAATAATAATAGCTAAAAAATCGATAATTTCTTTACGCACCAAAAAAATTTATTTCTAGAAAACATTTTACTTTGAATTTTTCTTTTACGCCGTTTGTCACTAGTGTAACTCCAAACTGGTTTCAGATCCACTTTCATGTTCTCAGTAGGAGGTAAAAATTGGTGTACCCAAGACTAGGTGAAACAGAGTTTGATTACCATCTACGCTTCAAATTATCCTAGTTAATGAGTACATAATAATCGATAAAAATGCAAATAACTATTCAAAACGGTTTATTGAAATTAGATAGGCATCTCGACTTGATTACATCTCAGTAAAAATTTTACCCTCAAAGTTTTTCTTTTTAGAGATAAACCTATAGTTTTTGAGCAGATATCAGAGATATTATTTTAAATATATATTTCTAATGGTAATGACACCCTCTTATTACCACTTCCGGTAGAACCGGAAATGATACAAACTTTACTTTTTTTAAAGTAACACTACTCGGTATATTTTTTATAGATGGAAAAATTTGCTTTTTACTACAAACAATGAAATACAACCACTGTTCTAAAAAAGTGGCTACTAATAAGAAACCAAGAATTACAAACATTTTTTTTTAACATTTTTTGGAGCTTCGTTGGCCAATAAATTCCTTTTCAATAAACACAATATCTACTCATCACTGGTCTACTAAAAATTTGCATATATTGAAACCAAGAGGCAACCGAAAAGATTGAGAATTTAATGTATGGTTTGGCATGGTAAATAATACCATAATTGGATTGATTTTTTTTTTAACCTTAATGGCGAGCAATATTTATCACGCCCAAAACTTGTATTTGCAGCAAGATGGGGTACCATCTTAACGTGAGAAACGTGGATATCTTTTTAGCAGAAATATTTCAAGACCGTTGGGTGGGGAACAGAGGCTCCAACTCCGCCTGATTTGAACCCCATTGATTATTTCCTTTGAGGTTTCATAAAAGATAATATTTATTTTGATAAATGGAGAAACAAAAATCTCTTAAAACAACGCGTCAGAGAGATTGGCACAACATTAAATTCACAGTTTGTAGCGAATGCCACACGAAGCATTCATGTAGGTGACATTTTTGAAAATTTGTTGCGAGAAGTTCTTGCACTCTTATTGCATTCAAATTTAATTCTTAGCCTGTTCTGCTATTTTGGACGTTTACAAAAAAAACATTCGGAATATTTAAAAATTTAATTCTCGTTTTGAAGTGCTTCGAATTTTTCCCGATAATTTATTTGAAAGCACGAATTCGTCATGAAATGACTCGTACAAGTCCCAGAGTACTGAAAATTCTGTCAATTGTGTCAGATAGTGAATGAGAAACAGTTTTAACAATTTCTATAGCATGAATTTTTACTCCAACGTATTGTTCTGTTTATTTAATATTTATCATTAAAATCAAGTTTATTTTGTTTCTTATTAATTTTCTCAATTTTTTTTGTTATGCAACCCCAAACTAAATTTCATATGTAGAAAAATAAGCTTTATTAAATAATGCAATAAAAATTATAGCTTCCGTTTTCAAAAACTCATTGATGACGTCATAACTTCTACAAATTTGACATAATTTTTTTTGACACATGACAAAAAGATGCAGAGTAAAATCAAAAGCTTGACATGTTTTTGCATTTTTTCAAAAACCAATGCTGAGCTTCTTATTATAAATTTTGTGCATTACTTTATTATAAATCTGTATATAAATACATAAGTTTTTCACCAGCTGAAAATTATTAATAACACGACTAGTTTTCTGATAAATTTTATTTTTCTTAAATCTTATAATTTACTGTACCTACTTTTATCTAAAATAAATTACTATTAACGTTGCTTGCATTAAAAACTTACCGGAAATTTACTAGAATGCGTGTGCAATCCCTGCTGCGCAGCAGGACTGGATGTAGGCACCGGAGTATCTAATCCTGTAGCTCCCGGAATACTCGGCTCGTTGTACAGGGGATACGGGGGCATCCTGTACGGAGGCGGCGTGAGACACCCTTGCTGTGATTGTGTGGGTTGTTGGGGCAAAGGTTTTGGGGGTGGCACTGGCTTGTAGGGCCCATAACCTTCCACCTCAACTGCAACGAAACGAATCGGTTCAGCTACTTCAAACTAGTTGTATAATTGAATTGCGTTAAGCAATAACAGTAAGTTTCTCTTCATTCTTTATGCAATTAGCTCTGGCGTAAAAATTTGCATTTATTCAAATTTGATCTAATAACAGAGAGAGGAGGGCGTGACGGTTCGATGAAAAGAACGGTTATCTGGGAATTGAAAACGAAGGGGACGTCGACGTCCTGTCAAGGAAATGTCAAATATTGGAAAAATAATTGTGGTGTTTTTGATGTGTATCTGTTTGGCGATAGGAATCAAATGTTATCAGTGTAGTGGGCGTAAAGAGTGCGAAGAACTAAAATGGAGAGAAGTGGAATGTAGGAAAACGGCACTGGGTTGTTTTACCTACGTTCGTAAAGATCCAAACGGTATATAATTAGTTTTGTTTTTCTTTTACCCTCCTGGAATAACATATTTTGTAGATACAAGGAAAGACTGCTTCACTCGGGAATTCAGAGATTTTATGTGTGAGGAAAAAAACACAACTTTGTTGGTCTGTACGTTCTGTAAAGGTACATTCTGCAATGTGTGCTACAAAGACTTGTGCAACAGTGTTAATCGACATTGGGCTCCAATACTGACTCCAATTATTTTAGTGTTACTAGTACGAAATGTAAATGTTTTTTGAATAAATGTACATTTCACACTAATTAGAAAATACTGGAAAATATGCTTTCAGATACTGCTATTTGGTCTAGTTTTACCTAGTTTATCAATATCAAACTATGGAATTTTTTTAAATAACTTTTTAAACTATCTAGCGAAAGGCAAGAGTACCTTAAAAAGATCGATCCAGAAGTTATATACGTCAAAACTGATTGTAATCGTCCCTAAATAATTTTCAACCAGTTTTTTTAAATGATCTTGGCTTACAGTGTCAGTATTGGATGCAGATGACAATGACTACATTTAAATATAAATAGTAAGTATACCTTAACTAAGGTTTGGGTTTGCGCCTGATGTAAGTCAGTTTTCACATTCAGAAGGATAGAAAACTAGAATTTCAGAGCCAGGTTTATTTATCAATTTTAAAAGTATCATATTATTATCGTTCAGGACCACCTGTGTTTTAGCTCACAGTCTTGCTCACTAGTATACTTGTTTTAAGTAAATAATACTTCTTTAATAGTTTAAGAGCTCGCAGTTGATAGCCTGGCAAATTTCAAGGCTCTTCTTTAATAAAGAAAATTATGTAGGTCAACAAATAAGCACTTTGAAATCTGTGGTACCAACGTAATTTTATAAAAGTAAAATTGGCAACACTGTACGCACTTAATGCGTGCATACCTCCGGCTTAGGTAATTTCTGATTACTTAGTAACAATGGTGACTGAAATCCACCTTTTATTTTTTTTTAGGACAATAACCGTGACAACCAGTAGTCATTAATCGTGTGAATTATTATTAATAAAACATTTAATAAGACATTTATAAATTATAAACAAAACAAAACCAATAAAATAAAAATCCATTAAAGCATAACCAATTAAACACTAGAGAAGATGTTCAAAATTCCTGCCTTGTGTATATAAGTAAGCTCGTAATGTTTCCAAATTTTTATCATTTTTTTGTAAAAGTAACCTAGCTTTAGCTTTTTTCTAGTTATATGAACAAACAGTAGCTCCAGACACCCACCCCTTCATCATTCCAGTGACTACTTCAGTTCTACCTTAGCTAGTTTTAGCCCCGCCCACCCGGCCTTTATTTTCTTAGAGGATATGTCATTTACCCAAAATCAGTCTTATCTTATCAAGTACCAGCCCCGCCCACCCGCCCTCTATTTTTCAAAAGGTATATCATTTGCCGCAAACAGTCTTATCTTAGCGAATACTAGCGCCATCGACCCACCCTTAATTTTTTTAAAGAGTTTGTCATTAACAAAATCAGTCGTACTAGCTCCCCCCCCCCTATTTTCTTAGAGGGTATGTAATTTTCTACAATTAGTCTTATCTTAGCAACCACTAGGGAAGATAAAACTGATTTTGGCACAGGACATACCCTCTAAAACGAGAGGGTGGGTGAGCGGGGCTAGTAGCTGCTAAGATAAGACTGACTTTGGCAAATGACATACCGTCTAAACAAAGAGAGGGTGGATGGGCGGGGCTAGTACCTGCTAAGATAACGCTGACTTTGGCAAATGAGATACCCTTGAAGAATAGAGAGGGCGGATGGGTGGGCGGCGATAGTAGCTGCTAAGATAAGACTGATTTTGGCAAATGACGTACCCTCTAAGAAAAGAGAGGGTGGGTGGTGGGCGGGGGTAGTACCTGCTAAGATAAGACTGATTTTGGCAAATGAGATATGACTTAAATGACGTGTCCTAAGTAATTTTATTAAATTTTCACGAATGCAGACTGTCCAAAAGTTTAAGAAATTATATATAAATTCGTCGGCAGCGTGTATTACATACAAAGTATTACTGACCAAAAGTGAATCCGCATAGTACTAGTTAGCTAAAATTCGTCTACGCAGATTGGAATATCCTTGAGTAAGGTGAGTACCCAATTTAGAAATAAGGTTAAATTAATTCTCATATATTTCTCGAAGTATCTTGTCGCGCAGTATTTCAGGTCCTTTTCTATGGCATATTTCGGTTCTTACTATTGACGTTCAACTACTATCGATATTTCAAAACTTTTAAAAGAAAAGGCGGAAACTACGTCTTAGGAATTGAAGAACTGATATGTACGAATCGTTAAACAACACTCCCGATGGAAATTGTCTTATGATGAACGTAGTAAGTACCATTGCACGTATTTACAGATTAAATTTTGTTACAATACAGTACTTCTTGCTGCAGATAATTACGACAACAGGTGTGACAGGTGCATATTGCAGCGAGTAACCGTCCAGTCAAAGTTCTTCCCATGTTGTACCAATTCTTAAAATATTAAAAGCGAACTGCGACGAAACTTTACAGTTAGGTACTGCTTATAGAAACGACGAAACCATTAAATATTATTATTATTATTCATAATACAAAAATTCGACAATGTTGATGAGTTCAACCGTAGAAGATTTTTTTACGGGTATCAAAAAGAGAAATCTTCATGAGTCACTCATTTCTTAAAATTAGGTTACGCATTTGGACGTACTTCCGCTATGCAATCATAAAAAAAGGGAACAAATGCAATAACCGAAGGATAGGTTGAAGAAATGAGTTTAACAAATCAGATTTTGTTTAAATGGTAGCACCTCGTAGTTATACTAAGCAATGAAAATGAAAATGAAGTGAAGTAATAGTAATCACACTAAAATTACTGACATTTATATTACGGTGAAAAAAGTCATATGAAAAATGCTCCCATTTGCCCAAATATTTACATGTAAAAAACTGAACTAATCGACTTGATTATTCACTATTAATAATAATTAATTCTATTTACGCCCTATCAAGTGTTTTGACACATAGTTTGTTTTTATAAGAAGCGTTACATTAATTTCAAAGATGTAAAATAATTGCAACGTGTTTTAAAATTGCAACACCTTAAATTTGAGTCTCGCTATGGAGTTTGATTTTGTCTAGCCCTACTTCAGTTTGTTCAAGGCATGTTGTATTAGCAATTGAAAGATAAATGGTTAAATAGGCGAATGATATTTAAAGTGACCGCACAAAAATATCCATAAACTGAAAATATTTAAAAAATTTTTTTTATTGGTTTATTATTTTCTCAATTTTTTCTAAACACGGATACCGCCACTGCACTACTTCAGTTTAGTTGACTTTTTCAAGACTTTTCAATAAATCGATCATCCATTATAATAGAAATAATTCTTTATGCTAAAATTTTTGAAACTATTACCACAAGATTGCATTTCCCCTGTTATTTCCGTAAATTTCTTTAAGCTGCATCTATTCTTTACAAAATTTGCACATTTTTCTTAAAATAATTCCATGAGTACAATTACAGCTTTAGTTTCTTTAATAAACCGCTCGTTTTCATACTTTTTCCTTTCTGTTAATGTGTTACATATGTTTATATTCGGTTTACCGAACAGATGGAGTTGTAAAAGTTGCGTCATCTTTCAAAACCCTAATATTATAGCTCGGGAGATATCGACAGTTGAATTCGATATAACCGTTTACACACAGCGCAACAAATTATACCTCTCCTTTCCGCTCAAGATCAATTGGAGCTTCCACTGTTACTTGTGCCCCCTTGTCGTCACACTTGTCTTTAATTTCCTGTTGTTTTTTGTGTCTTGTTTAACTCGCTTACTTTGTTTTGGCTGGAAAACCAAGTCTAATTAGAAATCTAGAAGAATGAGATATAGTTTCAGAATTTAGTTTGGGGGATAGTGATATTCTTTTTAATCTTTTCCTAATTTAATAGATATTAAGATACCTAAGATGTAATAAATGTCATAATAGCCGCAAATTTTGCGACATTTAAGGTTGTTATGACATTTATTGCATCCGTGGTGTGTCCAAGGTTTTATTGGTTTCTGTTAATTGAGCCAAAAACTGAAAACATTTAAATCAGACAATTTGATGTTTTCCTCTAATGGCTACATTTTCTTGTTTATTCAAACTTAGAAAAATGATGGATTTAGACGACGTGTTGCCCGAAAATGTTAAAAATGCAGCCAGTCAAGAATTAAAGAGCTTAATTCCGGAAAAATCGCAAATTAGATATAAAAAGGCGTATCGGGCATTCATAAATTAGCACAAGGAGGTTAGATTTGTCTGCTTCTCTCAAAAGTTAAGAGATGTCTTCCTTTGTAATTACATGTAGAATTTGCGGAATAAGTATTGTTGTTAATCACTATTTAATGGATAGGGAAAATTGTGTGTACCTTCAGCACGTTGATAGTTTAACATTTATAGCAGACTTGAATTTTAGCCTAAGATGATGTATGGTCTCTCAACAAGAATTTTTTTATTGTTTTCCAATTTATACTAAACTTGTAACCCATCTTTTTTAATATTTTGTATAATAAAGAGCGAGAACCTACTCTAAATC